TTTTTTTATGGACAGGAAATAATTAAAAGAAAAAGAACGAACTTGAGTCCACCGGCTACCCTGTGGGCTGGTGGGGGTGTGCTGCTACATGCTGGGAGTCTTTGGGAAGTCTCAGCAAGGCGCCTTCTGCTTTTATGGCCAATTATTGTCTTCTGACATCATCTTGGGAGAATTAAAGACCTAAAGTGTAAATGCTTGTGGTTATGCCTGCTTTTTCTCTACAAACTTTGGCTGGCTTGTGGACATTGTCACTTCTAGGACATTTTATCTTTTTTGTTGTTGTTGTACGGAACCAGGGATTGAACTCAGGCCCTTGCGCTTGCCAGGGACGCGCTTGTTCTACTGAGCCATCTCCTTGGCCTGGAAATTTTATCTTTATAGGAAATTTTATCTTAAAGCCAGATGACAAGCACTGTGGAGCTTACCTGTAATGCCACCTGTTTGGGAGACTGAGGCAAGAGGATAGCAAATTCGAGGCGAGTTTGGGCAATTTAGCAAGATCTTGTCTCAAAATAAGGCCTGGCAACATGGCTCACTAGTTTAATTCCCCAACACACACACACACACACACACACACACACACACACACACCAGAAGAGAAACAGTTTCTTCAAAGCATGGAAGAGGAACAGACAAGTTGCAATGACCTAGAGTCCTCACTGCCCCAGACAGCAGTTAAGCTGCAAAAGCTGGCCCACTCGTGGTCCTTGAGTGCATTTCAGACAGATAGTGCCCCGCTGCTAGGCTCCCCTGCAGGTGCTTGGTCTTCCATCCTGCAGTGTTGGGCGCGCCTCCTTCCGTGAAAGTTAGGATTCCACTGTTTTGCATGAGAAAAAGAACTTTGAATTTTGCTGTAGGGAGAAGGAGGAGACCTGGCTGAGCCAGGCCACCTTCTAGCTCTCCTGTAGGCCAGCCACGAACACACTGAACAGTTATGCTGGGGGGGACTCACCTCAGCAGTGCAGCCCAGAGGCTGACCGGCAGGGGACAGAGCTGACCGGGAAGGGGATCTGGGAGAGGCGTCCAGACTTCTGCGATGACGGAGCTTCTTTGGGAATGAAGACCACGGGGTAAAAGGAGGCTGTGGACACCGCGAGGGCCTTTGGCAGCAGGAGTCCGTATGTGTGGACACGTGCTCTGTCCTCAGAACGACTGAGCAGGGAGTGGCTGGAGGTCCCCGTTCGCTGACCGTTGCCTCTGGCACCCCATTCTCTTCCTGGGGCCTCAGCCTCCTGCCCTTCCCACAGACTCAGCCTGCTGCACTACAGGCCCTGGATGTGTGTTGTCATCTCTCCATCCTCTGTCTGTGCTGCTCCGCCAACCTCCAGGGACCCTGCCACCTCTGTTCAAATGTTGTCAAAGGGCCTGGACGACAGTGTCCGGGCACAGCGTTTAGCTGCTCTGGACAGCAGACTCCCTGCTGTCTATACTGCATCTCCAGAGCAAGAGGACTCTGGGATACAAGTTTCAATTCAGTCTTTGTCCTTTTCTGAGGCGCCGTCGTGGTAAAAAGCAGCTTCTGGGGAGTGTTTCCAGAGCACTGGATCTTGGTGTCCTTCCAAAGCACTGGTGGACACGGCCACTCGCCGCGGAGGCAGAGATGTGCAGATGTAGCACGTGGACAGGCTCCTTAATGGGCAGTGGCTGCTGTGGCCCAGCACTGGCAAGAACAGGGGTCCAGCTTATTCTGCTGGTGCATGCGTGGGCTTGTGTCTGGCAAGAAGATGTGGTATCGTCTTCTCTTTAGCAGCACAGTGGACAGCTCAGTGTGTGCCCATGACACTAGCGATTAGGTACCAGGTGGGGAAAGGTCACATTAGGCCTCCCTGCCTCATCAGACAGCTCTGAGGACATCTGGGGTCTCCTCAGATCCAGGGGAGGGAGAAGGCTGCTCAGGGGCTCTGGGGATGGGCGAGCAGCGCCTGGTCGTGCGGCTCCCTGACCGCTGCTGCTGCTGCTGCTGCTCTGCCGGGCAGCATGGCTCCGCCGCACCCGGTCCCCATTTGAATTGCATTGAGATCCACTTGTGTGGTCTCTGCATAGTTTTACAAAGAGACAAATGTTCTTCTAGCCCAAGCGTACCCGGAATTGCCCCAGCCTGCCCCGCTGGGCCTGCCCTGCTCCTGCCCCGCTGAGACCTCACACCCCAGGAAGACCTTGAGTTGGGTGAATTAGCTGAGCTTCCACAGACCATGCAGACAGCCTGCTGGACAGGCCCTCCCAAGCCTCATGCTGGCTC